TGCAAATTACTGACCTCTGTCATCATTTTAAGTGGGGGAACTTGCACAATCGGTGGCTGACTAAATACTTTTTTGCCCCACTGTATATCCATAGGGGTCACGTGATTTCCACTGTTCATCCTTTTTAACGGGTAAAGAAGAACTTTCTTTGGAGAATTATATATACAATTTTTTTTTAAAATGTCAGTAAGAAGTTGGTACTGTCAGTATTATACAGTCTATCTCTATGCTGTTTTCCCAGTGAACCTCTTGAACTACCGTCTCAGGATCTTTCAGGCATGTTTATCTTTATTAAAGAAAACTGCGGTTTTCCTCTGGGAAAATCAACATCCTTTATATTTGTTGCCAAACAACTAGAACAACACTGATGTGACCACAACCTTTTCACAAAACACATTCACGCTCTGGTTCGGTGGGAGCATCAAATCAGACAGGACTTCCGCATGTTTGAGTGATTGCAGAAAAATAATTGGATCTGTCGTAGTCACAACATAAGATGAGCTATGCCAAATAAAGCGCTGGATCACCATGTCACAAAAAGACAGCCGGGCCCTAGTCTAAATACAGTGGAAAATGGACAGCTGTACTGTTGGGGCCTTGCTAAGGGGATGACCTCTAACTATAGTGAAAGTCTCACAAGGATGGGAAATCCCAGGGATTCCTGAATTGAATGAAAAAAAACATTACCCAGGGGTCTAACGCAATGAAATGTTTATGACCACTTTTGCTGAGCAGTTGTCCATGGGTGGTGAGAGAGGATTCAATGTTAAAGTTGGCTTTTTGTTTTCTTCCTTTTAAAGATGTACAACATATGATCCACAATAAAGATAAAAAAAGGCAGAAACCACAGGGACATTACAGTCACTCACTGCCTCACAATGTGATAACCATCAGAAGAGAGAAATCCTTAATATGCTCAATGCGCATAGCTGGGGTTAAGTACAAACTGGTCTATATGAAAGACAATGTCCCAGCACAACAGTGATGGTAGAGGCATGGAAATGGTAACTTTACACCGTTCTGCACTTATTTATCCATAAATCTTCATATCTCTCTACTACAGCGTGAGTATAGTAGTGGAAAGCAAAAACACAGAGTAAAAAAATGTGCTCCCATAAGCAATTAAGTCTAAAGGATACAAAGTCTATTGACACAAGGTGTGAGCTTAACACTTTTGTATGCAAGCAAGGCGAAACTGAAACGAGTGGTGAGAAAACAAGAGACTAGCTGTTAACAGCGAAGAGGAGAGAGCGAAGGAGAGAAACAGAGCAAGAGAAGGAAAAGAAGTGAAAAGCTGCCTTATGTCCTCAAAGAGGAAGGTGTGCTCCTGGGAAACTGAATACTCCTCTATGTTCTTAAATCTCTCCTGTATGCGCTCACTGTTTCACACTCCCATCCACAGGAAACACCCACAGATACTTGATCCCAAGGATAACAGGCACACCTTAGACCATTGACTTATTATAGATGTGGTTTAGGAGTTTCAGCTTCATACTTCTTTGACTATTATTGAACATTTGTTCACAAATGAAAGACATGGAAGACGGATGCACATAAAGACACGGGCAACTCACCTGTGTTGGGACCTTTGTACATGTTTTTTGTACACAGTGATTTCTTCTATTGTTTCTGTGCTTTAGGTAATTTAAGGGAAACAGCTATATAAGGCTCTGTATGGCGTGATTTCTCAAAGACTCCACCTCCGAGACTGAAGTTTTTCAGTGTGGGGAGAGGCATGCAAACAAACATGAGACGTTCATTTATTCAGTCATTTGATTGGGCAGGCTCACTGACTCTGTTTGCTCTACCTAGTCTGAAGTGGAATTTCCCTAAGCTTAAAAAAGAAACTGAAATCACTGTAAACGACTCATACCAGTTTAACAAATACTCTCCTAAGTGTACTTACGATTCACTGGATACATGCCATCAGTTCAAAAAGACCACTTGTGTGTGTATTTACATGTGTTGCTAACTCACACATCGCCTTGCACCAGTCCATATACTTCATGTATTTTCCATCCAAAGCCACCAAGTAACACGATGACCAGGACGATGATGACCAAAGCAGGAAGTCCCCACCCCAGGAGGAAGTAGAACAGGTATCGGCGTTCTGTGTGCTCATCATTCATCACGAGCACTTGCCAGAAGTTCACCGCCTGAGAAAACAGTTTGAGAAAACAACTTATTCACGGGGATATAAAAATAAAAAAGTAACTTTTACAGACTATGAAATGTATCTTAAACTTATCGCAGCACAATAAATTAAAGGGGGAGAAAAGGCTCGACATCTTCCCCTTTGATGATTTTTAAACCTTCATCGGTTGTGTGCATATTTGGTCTTTATAGTCAGTAAAACACAAAAACACACAAGTATATCCATCCGCATATCACACCCAAAAATATCTATGTTTGCTTAGTTATCTAGAAGGCTTTTATAGTCTCATCTATCTGCTTTACTAAGCCATCCACTGTTGTATAACTGGCTTATGTGAACACCTGTTGACAGCAAGCAGACGATGTCTTATCCTCATGTGAAGCACACTAACACTTCATTTTCTCTTTCACATTTCGCTCATATATGGTGCGTTACGAGCTGTTTTACAAGCTTTAAGCCATCTAACATACATAAAAAACAAAAGTCTATAAAGTATTACATTTGAACATGAAAAAAAGGAAATGCTATTAAAATTTATGCAACAGGTCAACAGCTGTAATGAATAACAGCTGATAATGTCTATCTGTTTGCAAGCACTCGAGCAGCACATTTGCAAAGAGGAAGATGTGATGCAACTAATGACACAAGGTCAAATGATGTTGACCTCTCCCTATGATTACTCTGCTCAACCTCTACCGTAACAATATTGTATAACCACTGACCCAAAAAGACCTTGCTTCATAACCACACCAACATGAACACAAACCCACAAACACAGATGCAGCAGATGCAGCAAACAAGACTGTACGGTTCCCGTTGTGTAACAGCTCGACTCCCCTGAGATAATACAATGATGTCAGTCAGATTCAAGAAGTGTTATTCACTGGCTGTGAGAAAACTGCAGTCATTGTGGTACAGTAAAGGGATTATGGGCAACTTTGTGCTGAGCTGTTGTTTTGCAGTGGCTATATCACTCATGGAGCCACAATAATAGGTTGGCTCAATCTCACCGCAGAAAAAAATGCAGTATTTTTTAAATATTTACTTCCAGTTATGTTTGATTGCGCAGATCATGTTGGGACTACTTCACCAAGTTTTTAGATATGAGCTATATTTAGTTTCCGCAGTGCAAATAAAGCCAAAACCGCAAGTTACCACTGAAGGTAAATACCAGTTGTAAATTGGTCACATGAACCATTGGTGTTGTATTAAAAGTCCCAAATGACTGGATGACTAATTGGCGAGGAAACAGGACAGGCATTATCACATAAAGATATTATTTAGCAAGCTAGAAATGTGTCATCCTGGCTGGCTGTCGGCTTCACTAGCTAGCTCAGGAAAAATCCCAGAAATCCTAATCCTGATGCCTTTAAGACTTTGTACACTTATTTAATAATGTGCAATTTTTAGTAAGCTGATGTTAACTGCAAACCTCTGCATTCAACACATAGCTGCTCTGGACAGTGGCCACATTATTGTGTGTTTTCAAGCTTTATGCCAGTGCATATTCCCCTGATCAGGTTTTGGACGTGCCCGTTCTCACTACTCTCAATTACACACACTCACACTGCTGTTATTGATTCAGGTCTTTGTCATGCCCTGAGATGAGCTGCTGGCGCCCACTCATATAAGCCACTTATCTGAAAGCAGCTACCTGATCTGAGGGAAACTTGAGTGGTGAGACATCACTGGGGTCAATGCAGAGATGTTGGTGAGGATGGAAGGGTCTCGGTTCCCCGCATCAGTGAAAGCCAAGGTGGCGGTAATATTTTTCTTGTCAGCTACATTCACAGTTAGAGTTGACATTTATGAAATAACAAGACTGTGTAACTTGTAACATATCTGCCTTTTCTATCACACAGTCTGGCTCTCTATTTAAATTCAACCTTAACGAACAGGGCATGTTATGAAAAAAACAAATCTGTGAGTGAGTATATAAATAAACCAACAAAAGCCTAAGTGTTTTTTCTTCATGCTTCATTAATCCTCCTATTTGAATTCTTTACAGGGTGAATCACTGTTTGTGTCCTTCACTCGATCCAGTCAGCTGTTACCCTACTAACTACTACCATGTGTGTCTAAAACCAGCTTGCACGTCACAACCAATTTTATTTGAGCTCCAGATCTGCCCATCCAAATTCTAACACCGCTTAAGCCACATGAAAGCCTTCAGCCTGAGACTTTATCCCTTAAAATCTCCCAGAAGTCATAGTAAACAATCAGATATGAGAAAAAGCCCCCTGCGTCCAACACGTACGCCGCTGCATGGTTCCAGTATTACCCTGCTGTGGTCAGCTTATGCCACAGCTAATCTTATAATACTTTACCAATAACATTATTACATATTATGTTCCCTATGTAAACACTGGTTATGTTCACGTACGCATGTCACATGTTACAAAAGGTTGAAGATTGATGAGAACAAGGCAAATGTTATGCAAGAGAAGGACAACAGGTGGGAAAAGATGGGTAGATGGGGAAGTTCATTTAGGGATACCATTCCTATTGGTAACATGTGTCTTATGTGACGGTATTTTTGTTACTGTGAATTCAGTTTGACTCATAATAGCATAAATTGTGATTTATGATGGTGATAAATCTCATTTCCCTTCTTAAAAAAACAAAAAATGACAACAACTGAGCCTGAGCCTTCAGCTTGATTGTCATCAAGTGGATTTAAGATTGTTTGGAAGAATTACACAACAAATACATATGTATGGCACAGACAAATAATATAGATAAAGTTATTGTCTAATGTCTGTCAAATCTATTTAATCAGGTTATATTTCAAAAATGACAAATAAATAAACAAACATCCAAGGATTTCCTGTATTACGCAACTACCTTTGTTTCTTTGCAGTTCAGGACTCGTTAGGAGGCGGATTACTTAGGAAAAGGATTTATCACCGCAGCAGCAGCACTAAAGCTGCTGATGAAACCTCTCCCTGCATTCCTTTGCTATTGCAGCAGGTCATAAGTCATCAATAAACTCTTTCCAGGATTACAACTACAATTACAATGCACAGATGTATGTTTACAGTCTTCATGTTCCTAAAAATCCTGGGTGGCTTTGGTGTTGACCAATATAATGCAAAGAAAGAAATAAGAGAATAAGAAGGTCTTGTTAAGAAAGAGCTGTTTAGGGTCCTTGTAAGGTATTATAAGGTGATCCTGGGCAAAGGGCATGCCAGTGCAGTGTACTGGTAACTTTATGACTGCCCCAGTAGATGTGGTAAAACAATCAAATTTCACTGCCTGTTGCACATAAACCAAATGCCATATGTATGAAATAAAAAGAAAGAATAGGAACCTTGGCAATGCCAAATTATGAGATAAAATAGGCAGGAGGAAGGTGGAGAAGCATATTTAAACAGACAGCACAGACGTCCCAAAGGACCTAAGCTCGGTCATTCTCGACCACAATTGGTTGCATGTCCCATTTTGACTTCAGCACTTCCAGGCAGTACTCATGGCAGATGTTTCTACATGCTATACTGGCAACTTGGTTATGGCGTCCCATGCATACCCTGCCTGCTAGCATCTTTCACACTGCTGTTATGTGCTGGATTGCCTCAGGGGCATCTTTTTACAACCTGCATCTGGGGTCTTGCTTGGTGTGGTAGATCCCAGCTTCTATTTATGTTGTGCTCCGAGCTTGATCCTGTGCTGCGATGATTAGTGCTTCTGTGCTGTCTTTCAGTCCAGCCACTGGTGGGATCTCTGGATCCAGCCACTTCTTCTATCTGCTGGTACATACTGTGCAGGGGCCTGTCCTTCCGTGATGGTTGTTCTCCTTCTCCACTTCTTTCTTGGGTTTCTACTGCCTGAGGTATTCACTAAGCACATGGTCTGTTGTGGCTATTTTCCGTAAAGTGTCACAGTGCAGGATTTGGGGTGAAACCCACCATATGTGGTCAGGAGCCTCCTTGTCTTCAGTGGCTTCTATTGCCTCCTTTGGCCAGTTTATTATCCCAGCAGGGTATCTGATCATGGGCAGGGCATATGTGTTGTTCTTCCCATTCAGCGGACTCCTCAGGACTCGCCTTACCCTCTGCAGGTACTTGGTGGTTGCAGCTTTCTTAGGCGCCTCTTCGTGTTTCCCATTTGCCTTTGGGATTCCCAGGTACTTGTAGCTGTCCTCAGTGTCTGCAATGTTGCCTTCTGGTAGTGAGATCCCCTCAGTTCTGAGTATGTTCCATCTCTTTGTTACCATCTGCCTACACTCCAGTCCAAATGACATTCACATTCACATGTTGTTACTATAGATCCTAGTGTTGTGGATCAGTGAATCAATGTGTCGTTCACTATTGGCATACAGCTTGACTTCATCCATGGCGCCTGATGATTGTTCTATTCCGTAGTGGGTATCTGTAGCCAATCTTGTCAATGACACTTGATGGTGACATGCGCTATAGGCTTGAAGTTGGCCTCTAGTGTTGTTCACCACATCCCCATTGAGTTCCTGATGAAGGCTCCAAATTGTTTTGCCAATCTGGTATTCCTTGCCAATTCCTTTTTGTGCCCTGTTTATGCATTGAGCCATGTGCCACTATGATGACTGACAGGAGCTTCCACGTGGTACTGAGGCAGGTAATTGGATGGGACTGGTCCTTTCTGGAGATCCTTGGGGATTAGGACTGTTTGGCCTTCGGTTAGCTATTCTGGGTGTCTCTCGTCAATTAGCAGAGTATGCCTTGGTTCTTTGGAGCGGTTTATTCCCCTGGCTTCTGTCTCTCTGGTATACCTCTTCAAGTGAGGTCAGCTGCTCTCGCACCTAACGCTCCTTCAGTCATACTTGGTACCCAGTCTTGGGTGACCTGACGTCCTTTCTCCCCCTTGCCGTAGCACATGTGTTGTATCTCATTGATCTTCAGTTGTCATCAGATCGTCAGTCGCTTCTTCCAAATGTTGTTTACACAAATGCAAAAGGCAGTTACAGAAAGATAAATTTTTTCCACTTGTCAGAAATCAAAAGTGTTATATATATTTTTTCCTCCTCACATGTATCTAGTGTTCACTGTGAACCTATCATTACCTGTATGAGCATCCAAAAGAACTGACTGAGATGGAAATAATGAGAGAAGAGCGCCAGAGTAGCACAGCTGTCCTCTGAAAACACTTGGCCACGGAAAGCTGACACCAGGAAACAAATCTGCAGACAAACATGATAAAAAGAGAAACACACATTTGAAATAGTTTAGTATTGTCTTTAACTCAACTTTTCATCCTTGTGACTTTAAAGACAAAGCAACAAGTTTTCATTTCAACTACTGCATATGCAGATTTTGCACAACACAGTCAGATTTTGCATGCCTGCCAAACTGACACCCACACAGGTTGAGTGCAGTGTCAGCAGTCCACATTGTGCATGAGGCCATTTATTGCCTGTTATATACTGTATACATTTTTAAAGAAGACTGCAGGACTCTGATACACACACCTCCCAAAGAGAGATATCCCATCCTGCAGACCTGTTACATCACCTTGCAGCAAGCTCTGAAGGCGGAAGGAAAAGTAAAAGCATCTACAACACTGATAAATATGTTTTGTCATATCGTCCTTTCATCCCACACGCACACAAAGAATGCAAAAATGTGTGGGTGATGCACGTTACAAAAACAGCTTGTGGAAAGTGTGCATATTTGTATGTGAGAGACAGAGCGAGCAAGAGAAGGCAAAAGAGACAGCAGCAAGGGAGAGCAAGTTTCATAAGCATGAATGCAATGGGGCAAAAATGCAATCTATATGATTAGAGGCAGGATTGTGTCGAAAACCCACGAGGACAGCACAAAATACTGCTGCTCTGTTGTCCATCAGAAAGTTTTATTAAACTCTAGTGCCAAAGCGGCCGGGTGATTGTTACATAATCTGCAGCCTGTCGGATCACTACCAGTGCCATGGACCAGATAGGGGGTGAATGGACAACAGCAGGAGTTGAGAGTTGTGGGTAGAATGATAACTTGGTCTCAAGTGTTGCCTACGTTTTCATTATTGTCAACAAACAAGTAGCAAAAACGGCTTTAGGTAATAAGAAAGGTGTCTGCTGAATAAATTTCAATTTTAACTAGCATCTAATCTTTGAGTAATTAGGTCTGACTTTAACAGTCACAGTTTTTACAGATCAGATACCAGATACAGATATCTACCTCTCTGAAACACCTCAGTGTATACTGATACTACAATATACATTATATATAGACCGTGCGCTTTAGTAAGCCAGTAGCACTCTGTGGTTTCATTGATTTCATCACGTCAGTCTGTACAGTTACCACATAAGCATGGTGAAACCTGTTTTCCAAACTCATCGCCCCACAGCTTATACTTGCTGCCTTTTAGATGACACCACAAATACTGCATGTTTAAATAGGCTGACGTCATGCAGTCACTTCTCGAATGTCTATTCTTTATAGGTTTTCCACTGAAATTTTGGTCGGTCATATTTTCTAACTTTTTGTTAACCTAGGAAATCCCAAAATGTCCATTTCTGGATTTTCCAGCACTTCCCAACCCTGTCTGCATCCTCTTGCTGAGCGAGAGGAAAAGTCAGTCCCTATTTTAAGGAAACTAAGAATCATAAGTCACTTTCTCATTGGTACACCAAGCCCTGGAGGGTGTGTATGTGGATAGGATGGCATAGGAAGGAAATTCGTGCATGAGCTACCTGGAATGATGCCTGAATCAACAAGCTGTTTGGGTAGCTTATGGGAAAAAACAGGGTTAGGTATTTTTAGCAGAGTTGTGCTTATGTCGCCTAAAAGCAAAATGATGGGGGGAAATTACCACCATAAAATCATGAGCCAACGTGATGTAGATATACGCACCAAGATTATAACTTTGAAAAACCAAGCAGAGTAACAATAAATACTAAACATTCTCTTTAATGTGTACTTCAGTTGATCAGCAGCTGTGATAGCACAGGTAATATTGTTTTCACCTTGAGTGTGTGAGTTTGTATGCATCATCATGGCAAAATTGGAATAGATAACTTTTTTTTTTGTAAATAATTTAGTAGGTGTTTACATGTTGAGACATTGGAGCTGTGATTGTGTAGCTAAGATGTTGCTTTCGCCATTTGTGTGGACAAATGATGGTTCAAGAGACACCACAGAGGTGATTCAAATATCTGGGAGAAAACTGCAAACGTACAAGATAAAGTCACAAAACTTCACAAGTACGTAGCTGGAATCGAAATAAACAGCCTGCTGGGAGATGGGTGTGGCCTGACCATAGGTACTAAGCAAAAAGTGCCAGAGCAAGAAGGGTAAGAGTGACTAGAAAGTATAATTACCTCGTGTAATAACGTGAGGTCCAAGGCCTCACTGGCATCTTGGCTATGTTCATTGTAAGAGTTTCATGATTTTTTAGGTCAGATTCTGTGTCCGTTTCATGCAATAATACAGCTTTGACCAATGAATCCACACAAGTTTACCATAGCCTTTTGTGAAATAGCTTAATAGTCGCAGGAAGTGAACCTAATGGCAGGCGGTGACAAAATGACAGGTACAGAAAAACAGCTATGTATGGGGGAAAGGCAAAGGACTGAAATGAACATATGCAGTGCTTTGAACATGTAACTGCCTCTTAGAAATGCACGAGGCTCTGTGTTTGTTCTGGTCTTGTTCTCAACAACAGAAGCGAGGTAAAAGCAACCACTTTGGATAAGTTAAAGATTTGATTTGATTAGAACTCGTCTGTTTTTTATCTGCCTTGTCCAACAGGCATTCAGTAGGTAGTAGTACGGACAGATACACACAAGCACATGAGGAGCAGGCTCTCTTTTTTGCTTTTGTTCTCACTCTATTGTTACCATTCAACAGGGACATATTAATACATCACACTTCATATCATGTGGTTGACAACTAACTCTTATGTAGGGCACTGAATCAAAGTTAGCTAAATCTGTCACGACTTGCTATGGTATTGTTCTCCGTGTTTTTGTTTTTCCTTCGACTCATTTTCCCGATTAGTATCTGTAACTGTCCTTACACCTGCTTCATCTCCCCTCGTTACCTGTGTATGCATATCTTGCCTGAGTCTCCCCTTGTCCTTTGTTTCATAATCCCTAGTGCTTGTGTGTTTTCTAGTTCCATGTTTCCCAGGAGATTCTTCGCGTTTGAATCGTCTGCGCCTGCTTAGTCGCTGTCTATTTTGTATTTTAGGTGAAGAGTTCAGCATTAAAGCTGCTTTTTGAGTTCATGTTCTTTCTCCCAAGTCCTGCATTTGAATCCACATCTTGCCTGCCACACAGCCGCACCCTGACGCTTACAGTGTTTTAATCATTATGATTACTCCCCTTATTATGTGGCCAAGGAAATTTTATTAAACTTGATGAGAGGAGTGATCATTTGGGTAGTAGTCACTGTTCAGATGGAAATCTTATAATGGGATTATAGTCAACTGTCAGAATGGTAATGAATCACTGGTTACATTAAACACAAACTATATTTATATTTTTTAATAGGATGCCTCTGTTACAGGGCTCAGTTTGTCATGGATAGCTATAACTAATTAGCTAACAGAAGTTAGCAAAGAAGGTATGAATGTCATTGTTCAGTCCACTCGCAGTGTGACCTACCAATATGGAATAGGTTGGTAGAGTAAGGGGAAGTGACAGGTGTGGACATGAAGTTTATCAGGTAGTTTATAAGCTACTGATCTGCTTTTTGTCTCCAGGCTCTTTTTTCCCCTATTGTGTAACACACTGGGAGTCAACCTGTCTAGACCCTCAGGCTATAGACTTATTCACAGCCGACACTGGGAGGTGATACAGGACTCTAAATACAAGTCCTGTCAGTGAAGTCTGTGCTGTGTGTGTGCTTGCATGTTCTTGTGTCTGATAAAACAGGAATCACCAAAGCTCACACACATCCAGCTGTCCTGGTAATCGGTTGCCCCAGTATACAAAGATACAATTCAGGCATGCAGTTTTTTTCCACAACATAACTGAAAACAAGTAAATAACAAAGAAAATTAGACAGAAAATAATACAGAAGCAGCTCTTCATCCACAGACTTTGTCATTAGACCAATGACGTTGAGCTTCAATAACTATTCATTCATCGCTTTGGCTAAATTTCCAAGAAATGTCAGAAAGCCCCCATTTGTTTTGTGGCCTGGAAGCACCCCATTCACTGCTGTTATTGTGCTTTGTTTTGTTCCTACTGCCTTGGGAATAATTTTACTTTCAAGATGTAATCACATTTTGTATTGTATAGGGGGCGATCATGGCTCATGAGTTGGCAGTTCATCTTATAATCAGAAGGTTCGAGCCGCGGCTCCGACAGTCTCGGTCGTTGTGTCCTTGGGCAAGACACTTCACCCGTTGCCTACTGGTGGTGGTCGGAGGGCCCGGTGGCGCCAGTGTCCGGTAGCCTCGCCTCTGTCAGTGCGCCCCAGGGCAGCTGTGGCTACAATGTAGCCTGGCATCACCAGTGTGTGAATGGGTCGATGACTAAATGTAGTGTAAAGCGCTTTGGGGTCCTTAGGGACTAAGTAAAACGCTATACAAATACAGGCCATTTAACATATTGTAACAAACTGGCATAAAAATAACTAAATGCCCTTTTTCATGAACTTTTCCTGGCAATCTAAATGATACCGACAGCAACATCGTCAAGATAAAGACAAAAGAACACATAATGTACAGTGCAAAATGCCACCAAAAACACATATTTACTTGTTAACACGACAAAGGAGAAATCCTACAACATCAAACTGCACAGAGGCAAAATATTTAGGTGCTGTTGGCTGCAGCTCTAATACTCGCAGTGAGTGTGCAGCTGATCGATCGCCCTGTATGCTGAGCTAAGTGTACTAGGATGGCTAAAAATAGAATCTGCCATATGCATTACATCACTGATGGAGTGGGGTCTAAGCTGTCTGCCAGAGTATCCATCTCATATTGTGTCCCGAAACACTTAACCTCTGCGTTCCCCTGCTCCTCCACCTCCAGCTTTCCTCGTCACATCTTTTTTTCCCCTTCTTCCCCCTTCTCCCACCCCATCCGCTGCTCCACCCTTCATCCCATCTCCCCCTCCTCTTCTCTCGCCTCCCTTCTCCTTCACCACCCCCTACTCTCTAACAGCTACCGGTCTGATCTAGCTGGCTCCAGCATCAGCCTGCACCCTGGGTGTTTCCTCTTATGCCTTTGTTC